TTTGGGAGACAAAATATTTTGTTGCGCAAGGTTTTTGACATTTTGTTTTATTATTTCTCTTATATCAAATTTGCGAGTGAGAGGAAAAATGGCATGTACCTAACGCTCTTTGTCTTGATGACCATTTTCTGCCACCCAAAAATCATGTAAGTCTATTTCTTACATATTTAAACCAAGACATTCAAAATGCAGCATGTATGATGTCATTTGATCCATATCCCCCTCAACACAACATGGAAAGAAGCGAAGCCATAGGCAAAACCCTAAGGTCCCCGCCTGAGCTACGCGATGGTCAGTTAGGTTGAAGGTATGATTAACTTTTTTATGAATAGGTAGGTTAGAATATATAGAAATTATACATACCATGACTGTCAAAGTTGAATTATACATAATGATATTGAAGACAATACACAAGATCCCAATTATCATAGACCGGCCTTTAGTGTCATGGAAAAAGTGTAGAGAAATGAAAACCACAACGGCAAAGAAGACAACTTCAACTAGAACAGCAATGATGATGTTTCGCTGAAGAAAAAAAAACCAAAATGTTATAAGATACTAATATGTCTAAGAACACATAATTTAGTGAATTTATTGAAAATTATTTATGTGCTTTTTTCCGGGAGAGAATACGAAAAAGATGGCAATGTAAATAAATTCAATGACAAGTCCAGTGCCATTAATCGTAACAACAAGAAGGTTGTCAGGATGGACTATGGGTAGACCATAGAATGACCACAAAGCACAATTGAGCAATGTTACTATGTAGGGATCCGGCTTGAACTCAGCAACTGATTTTTGTTTGATTATCTTCACAAATGTTGGGCTGCAATATTTCCATCCGTGATGGCCATCATGTAACACGATTAGATTTTTGTGATTAAGAGAGAGAGAGAGAGAGAGAGATTATATTGGGGAGACAAATAAGCCAAAAGAGATGACATTGCCTGTGCTGGAAGTAACAAGAAAACTGATGCTAGCTCTAGAAAAAATGAAAATGGACAAAAGAAAGAGAAGAAATAAAAGCAAACATCAAATTTACTGACCAATAATGCCGACAATGGTTCTAATCATATCGGTATCCATTTGTACGTGTAGACAGTTAAAACGAGGAGTGAAGGCCAAAGAGAATTAGCCACAACGAAACTTGATGTCTTGATGAGGATTTGAAGAATTTAGGTTTATTTAAAGCAGTTTTTTTGTACAGCTTTTGTTTGGAAATGAGATGTGACGCAGATGAGGTGTAAGTGACATGCCTCAATTGTCATCCACAGAAATGCTTATTTCTGTTTCTTTTAAACTAAACTTCTTCTATCACTTTTAACTTCATTTTTGTTTATGTTCAGTTAATTTCTGTTTCTTTGAACCTGTGACATGCCGAGTAATATCTTTTTTTTTTTTTTTTTTTAAACAAAAG